TACAGAACGTCAGATAGATATGTTGTGTGCACAGAAGCTTATGTCTGAAATAAACTGCGTTGTTGAATTAACTCAGCAAATGCGAACCGAAGACATAAGATATTTGGAGCTTTTAAATAGATTAAGACATGGACAATCGACAATAGAAGATTACCAACTTCTGTGTACGAGAGTCATAGGAAATCCAAAACTTCAAGTATCTCTACAACAAAAGCCATGGAACGAAGTATGCACATTCATTTTCTCTGTGTATCACATTGCTTTTCTTTCAATAGGCTCCAATACTGGTTTTTCGGAATACGCTACGCACTCAAATTAATAATAGAGCTGTCTTAAAAAAAACAATGGAAATGGGACTTACCCCAATTGTATGCATTGCTCAAGATTATATTCAAGGAAAACCAGTGGATGATCTACGATTACGTAAAGCAATACTTGAACTACCTGATAATAAAACAGAACATCTTCCAGGCTATTTACCTCTCGTACCAGGAATGCCAGTTTTACTCACAGAAAACGTCGCTACTGAACTTGGACTCTCCAATGGTACACGTGGAATCTTTCGTCAACTTGTATACGATGAATCATCAGAAGATGTTCGATACCAGGATAAGAATTTTCCACCAAATACCAAGTTTATAACGCAACCAAAGTACGCTTTAGTAGAATTTCCTGGCTGCAAACTTGATGACAAACTTGCTGAATTGCAGTCCAAAATAGTTCCTATAGCTATTAGTGAACAAACATTCTTGTTTGACGCCAAGGAACTTCTTCCAGAAAATATAGCAAAAGCGGCCAAAATAAACAAGAAAACAACAAAACTCTCGGTCAAACGTAAAGCACTTCCGCTTATACCCGCATATAGCATGACAACATATAAAAGCCAAGGCCAAACACTCGGTAAAATTATCGTCGATCTGGTCATGCCTCCTGGACCACTCGAAGTTGCATCGGTTTATGTTCCATTATCTCGTGTAAAGAGACTTGACGATATACTTATTATACGTCCATTTGAATTTGTAACACTCCAAGTTAAACCATCAACGGCCCAAATAGAAGAACTTAAACGATTAGATAAAATAGCACAAAGTACTCGGAAACGTTTTCAATTCATTGTTTAAAACAACAACGTCGCAAGAGTGCCGTGATCTTCAGGCAAACCATCTAACTCATAAAAAAAACTCTATATTGCATGCTCGAAATTTGTGCATTTTACAGTTCTAGCCCATAGATCATTTTGTAAAACTTGTACGAAACTCTATTTCAAATAAAAGCGATAAAGACAAAAGAAAATGAAAAGAATTTGAACTATGCAAACGAACCGTATTGATAGAAAGTCACTATCGCTTGCGCATCCAACCGGCATCCCAAGCAGCATTTGACAGCTATATACTACAATACAAGCTATATATGACATACGTCATATAAAACTTTCTTAAGTAACGATTCCAGAGAAGACAAACAGTGTCAACCATATTTTGTTACCAATATCTCCGCTAAACTCGCAAGTGCACCTTCATGTGACCCAATCGTAACAAAACCACAAACTGCATTGAGGACTAAAGGCAACCGAACCACCCTCATTTCATTCGATAAACTTTCATATACAACCAGTACCGTATCATTAACTACCACACATCACTAAAACTCACAGAAAATACCCAAGAATACTGCCCCAACAGGCATTTCGACCATACTCAAATCTAGACTGCCAGTTTCAAACACAAACACGGTGCCTATGAGTGCAGGATCTAGTGTGGATGTCGGTGTCGATATGCATAAGAATGTTTCATTCAATTCCAAATCCAAACACACACTCACACTCCAACCCATCCAAACGCACCGAACGCCAACACCCACACCCACTCCCAGACTCACATCCAAACTCAACTCACTCCCACACTCGCCACATCCACACCCTATCAAACCCATATTCCCACTTTCCTCCTATCAAAAACACATTCCCACCCTCACCCTCAGCCTCATCCTCACCCACGCCCACACCAACACCCACATGCACACCTCTACATCCACGCCCACACAAACTTAAAAATTTATCCTCGCTCCGAATCTTAACTCACAAAATATCATTAGCGCATAGCTGAATTAAAAACAAAAGCTAAAATACATTTATTTGGTCACCCTCAAAATCTCATTCGTGCTTGGACAAACTGTGAAAACCTATGATTGGTCCAAATGGCCACTCTCGAAATC